CTCTACCACTGAGCTAAATCCCCAACCCCTGGTTTTTATTTTATGTGTATGAGTGTATTGCTTGTATATATGTAAGTGCACCCATGTCATGAAGTGCCCACAGAGGTCAGAAGAGGGCATTGGATCCCCTGATACCAGAGTTACAGGCAGTTATTAGCCACCATGTGGGTGCTGGCAATCAAACCCAGGTCCTCTGCAAGGCAGCCAGTGCTCTTACTTAACTGCTAAGCCATATCCCCAGCCCCCTTAAAAATTAATTATTTGCCTACTTAGTGTTGCTGGAGATTAAACCTAGGGTTTCAAGCATACTCTCCCACCCAGCAACAACCCAGCCCTGGTCTCTTTATATAAACTGGTTGAGTAAAGGAGTAAGACACTAGTTTTGCTATTTTGGTAAGCCTAGAGAAGCTACCTTAAACTCCAAGGGATCTCCTGGAAACACAAGACAACTATCTGTCGGCTACTGTCTCAGCTGGAATTTTTGGCCAAAAGGCCAAGACCACAGAACAAGTCTCTTTCACTGTCCTGTAACACCTCAATTGGTTTACACAAATCCAGACTCACCCCCCAGGGGCCAGGGCAGGACCAAACTATTGCCCTTGAACAAAACCCAAGTGTTAACAAGTGAGAAGGTAGAAAAAAACTCCTGGGTGATACCCAGGGTCTGCCACAAACCTGTATGTCCAGGTGGAGTCAGCCATGTGAAGGATGGGGGAAGGGAGCTTCTGGCAGGGCAGAGGGCAATGTCAACGTCAATGTGAAGACCTGAGGAGAAATGAGCAGCAGCCAGGGCCCTGTGGGTGGACTTATATGTGAAAGGCTGAGTAGCATGGGATCCTGCAGAATGTGGGAATGTGGAAGGGACCATATCACCAGGGTCTATTAAACGTGTCAAAGCATTTGGATTCTGTCCACTAAGTGTTGTAGAAAGAGGTTGAACAGTTTGAAGAAAGGAAGGGTCATGATCTGATTTGTGCTTTTACAAGAACACTGTAGCAGCCTGGTGAAGACTGAGTGGAAGATTATTGAGAGAGGAGGTAGGAAGACTAGTTAGAAAGTTTCAGTCCAGGAACTAGGGGTCCACTCTCTTAGCATATGCAGAGCCCTGGTTTCCACCCCTGCATACAACAACAGAAAGGTCTGGTCCCAGCGAGCGATGATGAGGACTCAGTTGGGGGGGGGGTAACAGCGGAAATAGTGGGAGTGGAAGCATTTGGGGTTTGCTTTGGCCATCGTTGGGCAAAGACTCCATCCAAGCAGAGATCTTCTTGTTCCCTGACTAGTTTGTGCTGTTCCTTTGTCCCAGGCTACCATCTGCGCCTCCTAACAACACTTACTCATCTCCCAGGCCCAGCTGACACATCATCTCCTTTGTCCAGCCTTCCCAGCCCCACCTCTCCCTGAAGAAATATCCACGCCCTCCTTGGCTCCACAGCTCTCTCCATAAGCCCCTCCCTGGTGCGTCTGTCCTGTGGTAGTCATTTGTTTACTTGTCTGTCTCTCTTTGGATTACGAGCTTCAGGGAGCTCACTGTCTCCTTGCAGAGACCGCATGTGAAACTGCCGCAACCTACCAGTCAGTCACACATGATTAAAGGCTACCACATAGAAGGGGTGGAGATTTTGAGTGCTGCTGGTGTCAGAGAACTGGGAATGTCCAGGTGGGCTTTGACTGCCCTTTTGACTACCCTATACATCAGTGCCTGTTTCCCTTGCCTGCTTGGCTCCCTCAATGCCTAGGGCAAATGTGCATTCAGCCTGGATATGGTCTCTGATACCCACATGCACACATGCAACTCACAGGCAAGCACAAGCCTGACCATGACTTTTCTATCCTAACCATCTCCTTCTCAGGTCTTTCCAGAGACTAACACACAGCTGCACCCCATAAATGGCTGGTGGATGAATGAACGAATGAATGAATGGCCTGAAAAGTCTATCAGAGCATGTATTAATGAGGATGAAGGCAGGATGGATCTAGGAGGGGGCATGGTAAACATGTGAAGTTGCTTCCTCCACACTTTGCCTCCCCAACTCCTTGGCTTTCCCAATAGGCTTGGGAGCCCTAGGCTGGGGGACTTCTCCTCACATCCGCTGTGCCAGTCTCTTGTTGGTACCCAAGATGCTGGGCAAAGAAGGCAGACTCTTTGTCCTGGGATATGCTTTGGCTGCAATCTACACAGGTGAGTGGCTGTCCCTGGGCGCCAGGTGACACCAAAGCAGTGACCCTGGGTGAATCATCCAGTGAGGACCATGTTGTTAAAAGAGATTGGGGAGATTCTAATCTCAACTCTTCCAACTGGCTGTTTTCCTGAGAGTGCCTTCCCATCCCTTGACCTCCTTAGTTTACAATGGTAAAAAGTCAAGAACTGAACAAAGTCCCTTATAGACTTGCTCAAGCCCATCACTGCACAGTTCTAGAAGGTGGTCTGCATGCAGAGAAGGAGCTAGGGGTGGGTCTAAAAAGGGACTGACCCTGCAGGGGGTGACCTATTGGCACCTCTTCTGCTAGGGCCAGTGGCCAATCTTCGGCACAACCTCAACGAAGTGATAGCATCACTGGGCTGCACCGTGGAGCTACAAATCAACAATACCCGAGCGTCCTGGCGTGTCTCCACAGCTCCCTTGTGGGCAGTGTTCAAGGATCTGCTGGTCAGGACCCTGTACAAGCTGGGCTTGGATCCCTAGCCCCAGGACTGAGTTGGCTTGAGGGGGGCACCTTGATCCCTGCATCCATGGTCTCCTGCTGGGGATGTTCCTTGCATATTTTTGCGGCACTATCCTCAAACATTGCTAAACCTTCCCTGGTCTTGGGGTTCTAAAAGCCAGGAGAGCACCCTGTCATTGGGACATATGTAAGCCCCATATTTCCACAGACTCACCCAAGTGGGCAGGACTCTGGGCATCTGAATTAGGATGTTAGGAATTGGGGACCTTGGCCTTTGAGGATTAAGAAATTAGAATGGGATATTAAGAGATATAAGAGACTGGGGGTTTGAGAATGTAGGAGAAACAGGTTGTTGGGGAAAGGAGGCTAAGGAGTTTGGGACTCAGAAATTAGAGCTGAAGCGCTGAAGTCCCAAATTATGGGGCGCGCTGAGCAGTAAGGAGGGGGCAAGGAAAATCTGGGGATCTGGGAACTAAGACAGCTAGGGAGAAGTGCTGCTAAGCATGTGAGCTGCAGAGAACTGGAAGGAGAAGCTGTATCTCAGGTATAGCTCCCTGTAGGCCTGGGTAAGAGCCCAAAACTTGGCATGGGTGGACAGACTGGGAAGCAGAAGAAGGTGTAACTTTATCCTGTTTCTGCTCATCTCTCTAACTCCAGGGCAGCAAAGATGCCCTGAAAGCTGAGACTCAGAACATCTCCACCTACTTTGAGGACCTGGATGCCCAAGTGAAGAGTGAGACTGGCTACTCGCCTGAGGATACTATGGATTTGGAGGAAACAGACCCAGGTGTAGATACCCGTGGAGCCCCTACAGGCAGACTCCACCTGTCCACCCAGAAGATGTATGAACTGAAAACCAAGCTGCGTTGCTCCTGTGAGAGGTGTCCCTGGGCAGGGCAGAGTGGGGCAACCTGCTGGGCCAGGCTCCAAGTCAGGGCATCGGAACCTCAAATATCCCTTGTTCCCTGCCACAGATGTGGTAAATCAGGCCATACTCAGCTGTCATCGCTGGTTTGATCAAAAGCATAAACTGTGTATGCAACGCATCTGGGTCCCGCTCCTGAATCACCTGCTCTGCCTGCCAATGAAGTTCAAGTTCTTCTGTGGCATTGCCAAGGGTCAGTGATAAGAGGGTAGGGAGGTCCCCAAGTTTAGGGAGATGAATCCTTGGGGACTACATAAGTGTGAGGTAGGAAAGTAGTCAGATATGGAGGGCATAGACTATGTGGGCACATGAACCTACCCATCTGCTGACCTCTTTGTGGCGATGACTTTCAGCTAAGCTCTGAGTTTGCTCTCTTCATTGGAAGATGGGTAGAGTAACAGTTCTCATCCCTGTAAGGGTTTTGAGATTTAATGAAATGATGCGTGCCAGGTACTAACTGAAATGGCACACAGGATCTGTGGGCACACAGGACCTGCTCTAGAAATTCTGGATACCATTATTGGTATTTTTTTTTTTTGGTCTTTTTGAGACAGGGTCTCTCTGTAGCTCCAGCTGTCCTGGAACTCACTATGTAGACCAGGCTGGACTTGAACTCACAGAGATCTGTCTGCCTCTGCCTCCTGAGTGCTGGGATTAAAGGCATGCACCACCCCGCCTGGCCCATTATTAGTATTTTGGGGTGGGGGGAGATAGGGTCTCAATATGTAGAACTGCCTGGCCTGGAAGTCAATATGTAGATCAGGCTGGCCTGGATTTCACAGAGATCTGCCTGCCTCTGCATCCTGAGTGATTGGATTAAATGTGTGTGCTACCATACCCCACCCATTATTAGTATTTGGTACAGTTAACAGCAGATGAAAAAAATGGGGATCAAGCATCAAGCCTTGTTCCTAGGTAGAAGAATCCTAGGACAGTAGAGAAGGGAGGAGTGGGTTCAGTAGAAAGTCAAGGGTAGAAACTCCTACATGAAAAGGCTCAGGCCATCCAGACCTGGGCCACAGCCCAAATGGGGAGGCTTTGACTTGGCCCCACTGCTCACCAGTGATGGAGATTTGGTGTCGCAAACGCATCCCAGTGGAAGGCAACTTTGGGCAAACTTATGACTCCCTCAACCAGTCTATTCATGATCTGGATGGAGAATTTTCAGTCAATATTGACATCAAGGTAGGAGGCACGGGGGTGAGAGAGGGAGACAGGCAGATAAGGAGCAGGAGGGGGAAGAAGGAAGGCATTAGGAAATAAGACAGGAAGAAGGACAAGGGAGAGGCCCAGGGAAGAGGTGACTGGGTATGGAGGATGGGGGTAGAAGAGGATTGGTGTTGGAGGGTTCCACTGGTGCCAGCCTGTGGAATCCATGTACCTGGCTTGGGGATGGAATGGTCAGCCAAGTATGAGATAGTGTCAGCTAACAGGAGTTCAGGAAAGCAAGTCTGTCACAGAGGGTGGTGAGCAGATGAAGTGACAACTCCTGAAGATTCTGGGAAAATAAGGAACATGAGTGGGGTGCCAGTAGAAATGAGTCACCAAGAGGTTGACTCTTAAGTGTGGCCAGGCTGTGCACATGTTCCTTCCCCAGGAAGAAAAGCAGGCCGCAGTACTGGGTCTCAACACGAGCTGGGAGCATGTAAGCACCGAAGTGCGGGACTATGTGCAACGGCAAGAGGCCCAGCTGCAGTGGGCCCTGCAGCTGCTGCACGTGCTACTGTCCTGTACCTTCCTGTTGGTCGTCCACTCGTAAGCCACAAGCCCCACTTGTTGTCCCTTCCTCCACCCTGGATGGGAGTCATGCCTGAAGAAGTGCAGAATGGCTGAGTATGGCGGTACAGGCTTTTAGTCCCAGAACTCAGGAGGTAGAGGCAGGCAAATCTGTGAATTCTAGGCCAGCCTGGTCTACATAGTTCTAGACCATGGCTACATAGTGAGACTGTCTCAAAAGAAAAGTGCACAACCCATACCCCTTAAATCTGAATATTATTTGCTTTTAATAAGCCTGGGTTTAAGGCAGGACGTGGTGGCACACGCCTTTAATCCCAGCACTTAAGAGAGCTGAGGCAGGTGGATGTCTCTGAGTTCAAGGCCAGCCTGGTCTACAAAGTGAGTTCCAGGCCATCTGGGGCTACAGGGAAACCCTGTCTGAAAAAAAGAAAAAAAAAATCCTGGGTTTGCTGTTTTCACAATTCAAGGACGTGTGGACATTTTATAGGGAGAGACATTACCCATGTTCCTATTATCTTAAAAAGATAAGCCATCTTCATGTATCTACCTCCTTCCAGCCTTCATCCCTGCAATGACTTTTTTTACATTTAGCTTTGACTTTTGATCTTTTTTTCTTACTCTTCACATTCCCCTTGGTTTTGACATTGTGCCATTTTTATCATCCAGTTTTGCTTTCATTCTCTCCTGCCTGCTGTGTTGGCAGCTACTTTTCCCTCCATTTAGAACAAAGGCCTTAACTCCACCCAGCCCAGTGTCCAGCGGGGCTGTCCTGGCCCTCACTTTGCTCAGTTTCCCCCATTGACTTCTGGACTCTCACCTCATCTCCACTCTCAAGTGTCTGGGATGGCAGGAACTGAGCAAGGGCAACCATAGGGGCTCTTGCTGTCAGCCACTGTTTGCCAGGCTATACTGACCCCAAGTGAGTGATTATATGTGTATCCATGGCCTCGTGGAAGGACAAAGGTGAATAAGCCATATTTCTACCCTAGGGACACTCCTGGTCTAGTTGAGGTGGTAAGGAAGATACCCACAGGGCAGAAATGCCTCAAAGGCCATACTACAGATTGGCTATGGGGACAGGTGTGGGAGCTAAAAAGGTGCCACTGCAGTGGTCATGTCTGGGTTCCAAAAGGCTGCAGGTAGGAGCTGTGCTCAAGGAAAGGAAAGGTGGTATTTTGAGCAAGGATCTTGGTATCTACAGAGTGTAGAGGACAGAGGCTGGGGTGGTGAACTAAGCCAAAGAACGCATGTCTAGGGGAGTCTGCAAAACCCCATATGAGGTCCCTGAAAGCCCTGAATTGGGGTATGGCTGCAAGATGGACTGGGCAGGATGGAAGCCCAGAGACCAGGCTAGGTCAGAGGTTAGAGAGCCTGGGTAGAATGAAGCAGGGCAGAAAGATGGCCTGAGATGGAGGAAGGAAAGGGTCTCAGAGCCAGCTTGGGTATGTAAGGGGAGGCATAGAGTCTCACATTGTTGCCAGGCTTTCAATCTTGGTCAGATTACTCACTAAAGGGACAAAGCTAGGACAGCCTAGGAAGCCCAATACAGCAGTGGTAGGTCTCTCCACAAGGGGTCGCCCCAGTCTATCTTTGCATTTATAGTTTATGTCTACCTTACAAAATGGATTTTTCACAATTTTTTAATTTTTTTTATTTTATGTATATGAGTGTATTGCCTGCATGTGCGTAAGTGCACCCATGACGTGCAATGCTGGAGGAGGGTGTCAGATCTCCTGGAGCTGGAGTTACAGGGGGTTGTCAGCTGCCATGTTGGTTCTGGGAGTGCTCTTAACTGCCAAGCCATCTCTCCAGACCACAAACTGGATTTTTTTTTTTTCTTTTGGTCTTTTTGAGACAGGGTCTCCCTGTAGCCCCAGCTGTCCTGGAGTCACTATGTGGACCACCCTGGCCTTGAACTCACAGGGATCTGCCTGCCTCTGCCTCCCGAGTGCTGGGATTAAGGGTGTGTGCCACCATGCCCGGCCCACAAACTGGATTTTTAAAGAACCAGTGGTGTTGGAATTTATGTATCACATTTTAAAGAGTTTAATACACTTCTGCAACTTTTTTTGTCTTTTTGAGACAGGGTCTCCTCATAGCCTTAGTTGGCCTGGCTTGCTTATGTAGACCAGGCTGGCCTCGATCTTACAGGGATTCACCTGCCTCTGCCTCCCAAGTGCTGGGTTTAAAGGCATGTGTCACCACACCCAGTCCCACCTCTGCAACTTTTTTTTTTAAGTCTTTTTGCAACAGAGTCTCTCTGTAGCCACAGCTGGCCTGTATTCACTATGGAGACCCAGGCTGGCCTCAGAGTAATAGAGATCTGTCTTCCTCTGCCTCCCAAGTGCTGGGATTAAAGGTGTGTGCCACCACACCAGGCTACAACTTTTAACATATTTCCATAATTAGACTTTTTTCTTTAGGAAGCAAGCATTATATGGGACTTTGGGAGACACACAAAAGATGCCTATATATGCACACACAAACACAGCTTAAGGGAAGCCAGGGAAGAACCAGGACATGCTGGGGAGACAGGAGTTGGTGTCTTAGGATGAGTTTTGCTTGAGGTATTTTCCTGGAGGTGTGTGGCAGGCAAAGCTGAGAGGCAGACTCTTGAAAGGTGAGTATGGCTGGGTGTGGTAGCTCATCCCTTTAATCTCAGCATTCAGGAGATAGAGGCAAGCAGATCTCTGTGAGTTCGAGGCCAACTTGGTCTAGTGAGTTCCAGGTCAGCTGGGGCTACATAGACCCTGTCTAAAGGAAAAAAAAAAAAAAGGTAAATATGGGAGGCGAAGAGTACTAAGTGACTCCTGCAACCTGGAGGGGTTTTCTGTCTCTGTGCATCTACTTCCCATTTATCCTACAAGATGCATACCTGCCCCAAACTCACAGACAGCTCACACCTTCCTCTGAGCCCCACCTCTGCTGGGTCTCAGCAGCCACATAGGTGGACATCGTCTACTACACAGCCAGAAGACAAGATGGAGCCTGCTTCCTTAATTACCCATCACCTGACCTGGGCCTCAGACATAGGGGTGCCCTGATGTGCCTGAAGGAAGCTCATGGTTGGGAGTGGGTGGACTTTGATTCAGGAGATGGAGACACCGGTCTATCCCTTTACAGATCCTTCTCCTACATGGACAGCTATAACTGGGACATCCGCTTTGACAACATCTACATCAGTACCTACTTCTGTCAGATCGATGAGCGCAGGAAGAAGCTGGTGAGGGGGCTCAAGCCCTGCCAGAGGATGCCTTGTTGTGCCCTCCATGGGCTTCATGTTCCAGGAGAACTCAGGAGAAAGGGCAGAAGGCCTTTAGAGTTCTCAACAATGCAGACATTTCTTTTTCAGGGCAAACAGAATCTGCTGCCACTCCGCAAGGCAGAGAAGAGATCTGTTATCTTCCCTTGCAAGCCTGCCATCCAGGCCTCAGAAATGAAAAATGCGGTGAGCCTAGTGCAGGGATCAGGCCTGGGGATGGGTGGCAACTTCAGGTGTGACTGAGAGTGGAGGGCAAAGGGCAGGGCACTCCTAGCCAGGGCGGGTGGCACCCTGTCCTACCCCTTGGCTCCTGGCAGGTAAGGGAGCTCCTAGAGACACTGCCTATCCTGCTGCTGCTGCTAGTGCTGTTTGTGCTCGACTGGGCACTCTACTCTGTCTTTGACACCATCCGCCAACATTCTTTCCTGCAGTATTCCTTCCGAAGTGAGCCACAGTCCAAATAGTCCCTTCACCCAGCCTTTCCCTTGGACTCTTCTGCTCCCCTTCTTTCCTCCTCCCCAAAGTCAAATCTCAGCCCCTCAATTTGAACTCTTTCCTGAAACCCTTTCCCACCATCCTGACCTCAGGCAGTCATAAACTAGAGGTGAAGGTCGAGGGAGACTCCATGCTCGCCCGACTCCTTCGGAAAACAATTGGAGCCCTGAACACCACCTCAGACACAGGGGTACAATCAAACAACATGCGTGAGTGACGCTGAAAGTTGGGATCGAGGGCTGGGGTGTGATCAGAAGACAATAGGGTAGAGTTGGGGAATGTAGACATGAGGTTTGGTATGCTTGAACTGCAGAAATTGGAGCCAGGGAAGAGCTTGGATCAGAGAAGTCTCCATACTGTGGCCTTGAGGCCCAATCCCCTAGAACAGCACTGTCCAGTGGGGCTTTCTGCCATGATGAAAAGGTTCAAGATATGTACTCCATTAAGCAAACAACCTTGGGGCTGTAGTAGCTATGGTGTTGACAATGAAGCTATGCGAGGGGAGCAGGAAAGGCAGGAGGTGGGGAGTTCAACTCAGAGTTTCCCGGTCCCTCAGCTGACCCTGACCAGACTGCTCACAGCCTGCCTCTTCCCCAGGCTGCCTGCCCCAACCCATGAGCCTGGATACCAGGGCCTACTGGAAAGCTTCACTGCCAACTGGCCTGCTTGTGTGTCTCTGCTTAGCCCAGGCTTTTGGCTACCGGCTCAGGAGAGTCATCGCAGCCTTCTACTTCCCCAAGGTAGTCTCCAGACAACTCCACCCTGAACATGCACACCCACAAAGCCCTACCAGCCCTGTCTTCCTCCTTTGCTCTGTCACTATCATTGAACTCCTCTTGGTCCCAGCGAGAGAAGAAGCGGGCCCTGTTCCTTTACAATGAGCTACTTAGGAAGAGAATAGCCTTCACCAAACTGAGAAGGGCCGCCATCGTGTATCAGGCACGCCAGCAAAGGGCTCTGGTAAGTTAAGTCCTGCACAGCTCTGCCAACTCTGGCCTGGGTCTGAGGACTCTCAGAGAAGGGGCAATCCTTTCAGTCTAGCCAGGACCCCCAGTGTCCCAGGCCTATTGGGGCTAAGTGGGTCTGACAGAATGCAGGTTCCAGCTTCTGGAGGTCAGGGCTTGTCCATTTCTGAGCCCCATCATTTAGCCCAGCCTGAAACATACAGTGGCCTTTAAGAAGTGGCAGAAAAAGGGGAATAAGGTCTGATAGTCTGCTTGGAGGAAAGCTCAAGAGCTGCAGACAGCTCAAGGCACTTCAGAGGAGTGGAAGGATGAAGGTGACCTAGGGGTCAAGAGGGCTTCTTGCAGGAGCATGTGGTCTATGGAAGGCACAAAGTCAGAGTCAGGTTCAAATTCACCCTCCCACATTGAGCTGTAGGAGCCTGTAGTCCTTATTGGATCTCAGTTTCTTCCTTTGAAGAATGGAGAGTTTAGATAGATCTGTAAGGCTACTCACTAGAGATAAGAGTGGTGGCCAGAGGCCAAGAGAGTCTGGATTTGAACCCAGTCCCATATCCCTGCCATTATATGACTCAACTGCTAGACCTTTTTTCTTTTCTCTAAGATGGTATTAACTACTTCATTTGGTTGTAATGATTGAGCTTTACTCTGTGTATGAGAATAAAGTTCTGTTCATATGGTAGTTGTCACTGTGCGTACCCCTGAGCAAGTGGCTACTTCTCCAAGCATCTGTTCTCTCACCTGAAGGAGAGATGATAATAATAACTATGTTCAGTGTATGGAGGGGTGTTGGATTGTTGGATATGGAACACAGGCCTGGGCTCTACCACTGAACTACACTGCAGTCCATATGGGTTTTAAAAAAATATTTTATTTTTATTTTATGTGTATGTGTGTATTGCCTGCATGTAGGTAACTGCACCCGTGTCATGCAATACCTGCAGAGGACAGAAGAGACTGTCGGATCCCTTGGAATGGAATTACAGACAGTTGTTAGCTGCTGTGTGGGTGCTGGGATTCGAACCTGGGTTTTCTGCAAGAACAGTCAGTGTTCTTATCCACTGAGCCATCTCTCTAGCCCCTGTATGGGTTTCGTAATTATTTACTTTACCTACAGTTTTCTTTTTTTTTTTTTTTTGACTTATTTTTATTTGTCCAAGTGTCTTGATTGCCTGTATGTATACTGATATGTGTGTAGCACCCACAAAGACCAAAAGAGGGAAACAGAGCCACCATGTGGGTGCTGGGAATTGAACCCTAGTCTTCTGAGAAGAACAGCAAGTGCTCTTAACTCCTGAGCCACCTCTCCAGCCCCTACCTACAGTTTCTCATTACAGGCCCCAACATTATAAGCCTGGTGAGATGGTTCAGTGGGTAAAGACACCTCCACAACCAGAGTTCCCTGGGAACCACATGGTGGTAGGAAAGGACTCTGCAAGTTGTCCTCTGACCTCCACACATGGAAGAGCATATGTGGACATACTGGCATGATCATACAGGGATTCTTTGCCTGGTTCTGAAATAAACTGAACTTGAATGTTTAGATGAAAATAGGAAGAACGTGCATTCTATGCTAGGAACAAGATTTGCAAGGACTCAGTCCAAAAGGCATGTCAAGTACCAAAGGTTAAATACACTAAGGAGAAAGCAATGAAAGCAAGGCCTTACTCAGGAAGGTAGAAAGGAACAGATCATGGACAGCTCTGCAAAACCAAGTTCTGCTTTTGTCTGGCAAGCAGTGGGGCTCCTGGAGTTTCTTAAGCATGACCAGGAAAGATTCCTGGCAATTGGGTGAAGAGGGTATGTGGGAAGCTGGATACTGACTGTAATGACAGCAAACTTTGTGATTTGGAATTGGGAAACCTGATTCTCACTGGATTTGATTTAGGTCCGACTTAGGAAAAGTCACCATCTTTGAGGTGACTTTTCTCATCACCATTGTCTGTCTGCCCTAGTCATTTCTCAGCCTCACCCTGAGAACCCAATAAACCGCTTTACAGATGCACCTGATAGCTGCTGCGGGTTGTCTTCAGGGAGAGCTTGGGTACTGCAGCCTCAGCAATCTATCACAGAGGAAAAGGAGGCTCTCTAGGATCTGCTTCCATCGTATCCTCGCCCTCCCCGAGTCTTCTACATCCACCGCAGCCTCCTCCCACACAGCACTTTCAGGCCTTGCGGCTTGAGATTTAGATAAGGGCTACCCGGTGCCCCTGGGAACCCACCTGGCATTAACCAACCAACCTCATCTCCCAACAGCGCCACCACCTGGTGGACACTCTGTCCCGCCGCTGCCCCCTCCTGCGCCGCTGGATGCGCCGGCGCTGCGTTGTGTGCCAGGCACCGGAGACGCCGGAGTCCTACGTGTGCCCGACGCCGGGCTGTGAGGCCGTGTACTGCAGGTCGTGCTGGGACGATATGCGGCGGCAGTGCCCGGTCTGCACGCCTCCCGAGGAGCTCTCATCCTCCGCCTTCAGTGACAGCAACGACGACACCGTTTACGCCGAGTGAAGGGAGGGCAGCTGCCTTCGCGTTTAATAAAAGGCCGTTCGCGCTCCAGAGGCCTGTGCTTCGCGGGGGTCGGGGACAGTGTGTGCTGGGAGTCGTCTAGCAGCAGTCGGGACAGCGGATCCGCGCGGTCCCCAGAGAGCGAGGCCACACACTAGAGGCGGGAAGGCAGCGTAACTTCGGGCAAGGGGCTGCACTGGGCTGCCGGAGCGGCCCCGGAGTCCAGAGGCTAAAAACCCTGGCAGGCGGGGGCGGGGCCTGGCTCGGGCCGGGAGGAGGGGCGAGGCGGGGCCTGGTGGCTGCGCCGCCGGGTGCTGGTATCCCAGCCGGCCGCCTCGGGTGCTCCGCTCGGTCCCGCACCTGCTGACCTCGCCCGGCCCGGGGCGCCGCTGCCATGCGGCTGGCGCTGCTCTGGGCCCTGGGGCTCCTGGGCGCGGGCAGCCCTCGGCCCTCCCCACCGCTCTCAAATATAGGTGAGTTCCCTGGCCTGGAAGGGGTCGAGGGGCTGACTGGGAAGAGGTATAGGAAAGACGCTGGCATCCGCCGGAGCCTAACCAGCACGCAGTCTGTTCTGCTGACCCGGGCCTAAGGCCGTGTGATTTGGGAGATGGACTGGAGAGTGGAGGAGGAAGATGCTGGCGTCCCTGTCCAGACATCCCCGCAGACACTTTAAGTCTCAGGCACCGGGGGACCTGCCCAGCGCCCCCTCATAATCCTGGAAAGAGTCAGTCACCCGCAAGACTGACGTCTTCGTCTCTCTTGGGCCTAGCAGGGCGTTCCATCCTGTGTAGGGCTCGAAATAGACACGGCTCGTGGGGTTTGGTGAAAAGGATTCTTTCCAGCCCTTCATCCCAGGTCTGGGTGGCCAGGCACCGCTCACTCTAAAGCGGTTGCCACCCGAAGGCTGGCTGAGCGGGAGGGGCCGGGAGGAGACACGGGAGGGAGCACTGGCCAGGAAAGAGGCTGGGACACCAACTCCTCCTTGGAACTTTCACTTCCCGCTGCTGTCTTGGGCTGGGGGCCGAGAGGGTAGGCGGGGGTGGAGTGTCCGGAGGAGAGAGGGCCATTGTTGGGGGGTGCTGGTGGAGGAAGTGGAGGCTGTGGGGAGCGGGCGCGCCTAACTGGGCATCAAGGCTGTTTAGGAAGGTGGGGGTGTTTGCACTGCTCACCCAGAAATGGGCGTTACCGGCATCTCTTATGTGAGGGAAAGGGAGGGTGAATGGGCACCAGGCCACAGGCTTCTCCAAAAAGGGCGTTCCTGATTGGATAGGGGTGTAATTGGGAAGGAATGGGAACAGGGGAGGGTCCCTATGAGAACTTGGGATTGGCCAGAGAGGGACAAGGACGGACTGCACGCTGGATAAGCTGAACTTTCTGGGAACTTGTGGGTGGAAATTGGTAAACTGGGAGAGAAGCCCCCCTCCCTCCAGTAGCCTCCTTTAAGTCCCAGCAGTGCCGTCACTGATGGACCTTGATATGCTGGTTCTTGGGTCTGAGGGTGTTCTTGGACCCTGCAGGTGGCACTGAGCAGCAGCAGGCGAGACCAGAGAGGGCCTTGAATGGGTCCTTGGAGAGCCAGGTCTTTCTGGACAGCCCCCCGATTAGCCTAGCAGAAGTGCTTCAGGTGAGTCCTGTCCTGTTAATAATGAACACACCCCCTTGAGCCCCACATCCTCAGGCATCTGCTGGTCAAAGCTAGGCAGTGGAGTCAATGAGCATGCATTGTAAACAGGTCCATCCAGGTCCAGCTGTTTTCCCCCAACCCTAGCATCTGTCTATACTTAGCCCCTCTCCCCTCTATACATATCCCAGCCCCACCCAGCCCATCCATCTACACTGGAAAAATTCTGAAGCTAAATCTGCTACATTCATCTCACACTGTTGGTTTTCTCAGTGGGGAAATTTGGAAAGGGACACACGCACGCGCGTGTGTGCGCACATGCACACACGCACACACACACTCTGAAGCTGAGTCAGAGGAAGGGCTGGGGCCTGTGCTGGGTCCTCCGTGATGCTTCCTCTCTGGGCAGGAAGCCGAGAAGGGGTGGCTCAGATACCTTCCTTGACCTCCCCACATAAGCCCCCAGAACAATGCCCCAGGCCAGGCAGGGCTTCCTGGCCCCTCCCTTGGGATCCCCTACCAATGACCTAATCACTGGTGCTCTCCTGAGAGCTTGAGGTTTTCTGGTTACAAAGGGTAGGAGCTTGGGGGCAGGACAGGGAAGGTGACATGCTTTCTGGTGCCCACAGACCAGTCTACCTGAGGCCCTGAAGATCAAATTGGAGCTGGATGGTGAGAGTCACGTCTTGGAGCTGCTTCAGAATAGGTAAGGTGGCAGGAATGATAATAATTACTGGCAAATAATTTATATAACATTTACTATGCACCAGGTAGTAGTAAGTCCTTACAATCATGGGAATCCTTAACAGCAATCTTAGAAGGTAGATACTATTATGCATTACTATCCTCATTGAACATATGAAGAAGTTAAACCCCAGAGGCATTGAATAACTTGCCCAAGTTCACACAATTCATGTATGTTGAAATCATATTGGAACCCAGATAGCCTGGAGAAGTCTAGCAAGTCCTAGACTCTGTGGCCTCAGAGAACTTAAAAGTTTGGCAGCATTGCCTGGCCCCTAACCTACCCTCTATCACCTCAGCTTCAGCTTTTTACTGTAGTACCCTATGAGGTGGCTCAGCTGCTGTCCTCCTTTTCTCACAGGGATCTAGTCCCTGGCCGCCCAACCCTGGTGTGGTACCAGCCTGATGGCTCTCGGGTGGTCAGTGAGGGACACACTCTGGTGAGTCAGAAACAGCACTCTTACACTGTTTCTGGACTGGGCAAAGGAGGGAGGGCCAACCGGAGGGTGGCAGCCCTGGAGGAAGTGGGAGGATACTTCATGGTTTTGCCAGCAAGCTGGACTCCTAGGTTCCAGTGCTGGTCTTCTCTGTGAGCTCACACTAATGTGGTTTCTCTTCTGTAGGAAAACTGCTGCTACCAGGGAAGAGTGCAGGGCCACACAGGCTCTTGGGTCTCCATCTGTACCTGCTCTGGGATCAGGTACTGTGGGCTGGTTCTCTCTAACCATTGAGAAGATACACAGGCATGCAGCTGAATTGCTTTCTGATTTCCTGTCTCTTTCTTTAGGGGCTTGGTGGTCTTGTCTCCAGAGACAAGCTATACCCTGGAGCTGGGGTCCGGCAACCTACAGGGTCCTCTCATTGTTTCCCGGATCCAAGACTTCCTTCTGCCAGGCCATACCTGTGACCCAGGCTGGCATACATTTGTGCCCACTCAGGCTCAACTAGATCTCCCTCCAGGACAGCACCACATTGGCCGGGTGAGGAGGCATGGAAGCAGCACTGGGCTGACCCTAGTTCCTTAGAGCTCTGTTCACACAGACAGTGGCTCCTGCTCCCAGAGCCACTCCCATGTCAGGGACTTTGTGAATATCACCATTTGCTCTTCCCAGCAACCCCAGGAGGCAGGTGCTGCCATTATCTCTATTTTAAAATGAAGAAACACTCGAGAGTAACCAAGGTGATTTACCTAAGGCCATACGACTAGTAAAGGAAACCTAGGATCAGAAGCAGGGTTCACTTCAAATGCCTCACATATCTTCTAATCCCATGGGCAGAGAGCTCTCACTTGGGTAGAGAAAATAGCAATGAGACAGCTATGAAAATGCACTTCCTAATTTGCAAAATGGAGAAAAACTATAGGGTTGCTGCAAAGATTAAACAAAAAAAAATATGTAAAGTTCTTAGAACTATGCCTGCCATAGTGCATTTG